AGTAAGCCGCGGTATTTTTTAAATCCTTTATATTAAGTTTGCTTGCTTGCTTAAGACCGTGCAAATCTTTCGGTCGTTTTTTAACCCACTTCCCGTGATCCAATCGAGCTGACATTTTCCACACAGACTCGTTGTGCGTGACAATTAATGTTCGTGAAATTTTTTTTCCAAAATGTTACACTTTTCAGGACAAAAATATTATATTTAATTACCAATTGCTTAATGGTGCAATGCAATCATCTGACCCAATGGTGGCAGCCATCTCAAGCCAGAGCACGAGAGGACTCTAGCCGCCACGCATATAAAGGATTTATAGTGAAAAACTTTGTTTTTACGGGTTATACTTATTGGGGAATTACGAGTCAAACTAAAAAAAAATCGCCGTTGCCGAGTCGGGACACGGGCGACCTTTCCTCCTCCTCCTCCGTGCCGTTCAGTGGCCGCTCCAAGACCCCCCCTCCCGCCGCCCCCTCTCCCCCTGTCCAGTACAGCAGCAGACAGCCGTCAGTCCTCACACCACCCTCCTCGGGGCATCCTCGCAACTCTCAACTCCCCTCGGTCGCTTGACTCTCGTCTGCATCATCGTCGTCATCATCACCAGCAACAACATCATCATCATCATCACCTCCTCTTCGCATTCACACCGCACCTCACCCGACACCGTCGCTCACCGCCAACGTCGACAGACTGACGCTCATCTCGTCTTTAGCCAGGCATCGACCCGCCGGTCGACGAGTCACCTCGGCTCTTCGAACGCACCCAATGTGATCGCGGCCATCGCCGCCGCCGCTAGCGAAGTCGTCGCAATATACTTTCGTAGAATACATTTGAGCGGCGGGTGATTAAATACGGTATTTTAACCTGTTTTACCCCCCCCCCCCGTACGGTAACCTATAACTTTTTTAAGCTACATAAAAAAAATAGGAAAGAAAATGGTGCTCTTAGTGCGTTAAGGTTTGGATGCGTCAAATAGGCGAACGTATATCAATCTTAGCGTCAGGTATAAAATAAATGAGGTCCAAAGGGAAGGCACTTGGCTCATTAAAGCATCACAGTGGTTGTGTTCCCCTCCTCAAACCCCCCGCCACCCCCCCCCCCCCCCTCTAGAAACGCTTGCCCATTCGGGTGAGGGGTTGCCACCTTGCCCACAGAACCCGGGACAGGTGGCAACCCGGGTGGTTCGTGTCGCTACCACAATATAACAATCGAACGTTGCTGAAAGAACGTCACGCGCCACACCCAGAGAGGTTTCTCAGCCGCCACGAACTGCGCGGTTCACTGCCATGACGACTTTCGACGCAGCCGCCACCGGTTCTGGACCTCGGCACAGAGTAGCGGCTCAAAGACGCCAATTCCAATGGGTGAGCGAGTGGGCGGGCGAGTGGGTCAGTGGGTGGGTGAGCGAGTGGTGCAGTGAGTGAATGGGTGGGTTGGAGGGCGAGTGGTATGGGTCGGTGAGCGAATGGGTGAGCAAATGGGTGAGCGAGTGGGCGGACGAGTGGGTCAGTGAGCGAGTGGGTGGGTGAGCGAGTGGGTCAGTGAGTGAATGGGTGAGTAGGAGGGCGAGTGGTATGTGTCGGTGAGTAAATGGGTGAGCGAGTGGGCGGGCGAGCGCGTCGATGAGTGTGTGGGTGAGTGGGCGAGCGAGTGACTGGGCGAGTGAGCGAGTAATCGAGTCGGTGAGCGTTGCCACCTTCGTCACAGCGCAGACCAAACTCGGGCACATTGTCTCAGCCACCCACGAGGTCTGTAGTCAAAAACCGTGCAGCAGTTCACGTTTCCGCGCGAGGTCAACCGTGGGGACGGGGGGGCAACCCTGGGTACGGGGCGACTGTGTCCCAGGGGGGGACGCGTTCGATCGACGTTGGGGAGAGGAGGATGGATACGGGCCGTGTGTTCGTGGAACCGACGGGCGTTTTAGTTCGCGGGGCTCTTAGCCGATGGCATCACTGCGGCCGCACCGAATGTGCCGTCTAGAAACCCCGGTCGTGGAGAATCGACTGCCTCCGGCGCGCTGCGGCTAACCGATGGCAGGTTGAATGGAAATAATAAAATAATAAAAATAAAACATCATAAAATAATTCTCACGACGTTTCGGCCACAACGCAAGCAGTCGTCCTGCGTTGTGTCCGAAACGTCGTGAGAATTATTGTATTATGTTTTAGTTTTATTATTTTATTATTTCCATTCTACTTGACTTTACCGAAAGAACCAAGAAGATGAATCCCTGCAGTCACGAAAGCTTTAAATCGAAATTCGGTGGCAGGTTGTTTAAACGCCGATCTGATGGCGTTTGGACCTTCGACGGCCGCGGTGGTGAGCAAGGAGGCATTTGTCCGTGTCGTTACGTGGCTTGACGTCTCCCAAATTTTTTGTTCGTTGAAAAAAAAAATTCTCGCGGCCAAATTTCATTCGCAGCGATTTTAGACGACACGGGGTTTTTGGCAAGCATCTTGAGGACATATTCTTAGGTTTTTTCGGTAAAGTCACGTAGATAAAAAAGTTAAAATTAATTAAAACAAAATAAAAATCACGACGTTTCGGAGGCAACACAAGCTTCCGTCTTCAGGTGGAACCGTCACAGCCACGACAGCTGTATCAAGTAAATGAGAGATTACAAGAGCTACCACCATTATATAAACGGAGTGGTAGCTCTTGTAATCTCTCACTTACTTGATACAGCTGTCGTGGCTGTGACGGTTCCACCTGAAGACGGATGCTTGTGTTGCCTCCGAAACGTCGTGATTTTTATTTTATTTAACTTTTATCAATTTTAATTTTTTTACCTACGTGACTTTACCGAAAAAACCTAAGAATATGAATCCTTGCAGTCACGAAAACTTTAAATCTAGAATCTTGAGGACAACATTCGGCAAAGTGAGAATAACGTCTCTGTTCTTCTGGTGACGTTCAAAGAGAGAGAGAGAGCGAGCGAGCTGGTGTTTTGTTCCAGTGGTGTTAAGAGAGAGAGAGACACAGTTCCCCATTGTGTTTGTTGTCTTTCCCCCACAGCTCCGATCTGCACCGTTGGCTACTTCATGGTGCATTGGTCACACGGAAAGGTGTTTTTTGGGTTAGATCGCGTGAAATATATAAATGTGTCGCTAAACCCGCCACCACCCGACACAGCCAATTAGTAAGGTTCGTCAGGTAAGCAAAACGTGCCGATTCGTTACTAATTCAGCAGACTGGTGTGTTGGAGAATAAACTCACAACATTGACAATTCGAGTACGACGTTTCGCCTTTGATTACAACCGGCATCATCAGGCGATCAGCCAGAATTGTGGAGAATGCCTTCCTGTTTCGGTCTTAAATAGAGGTGTGGGGGGGGGGGGGTAGATGTGAGGTCGTCACTGTGAGTCGTACATTAAGTCATGTTGACCGTGTAACCATCCTGGCAGAAACTATCGCTCGCCCACCCAAACTCTCATCACGACGGTTTGAGTCCCAACCCTAGCGAAGGTCTACGGGAGGGTCACGCAGCGTGAGCTCGCCTCATCCCGGTTAAAGGCAGGAGCAGTCGTCACGATGCAACAACAACCGCCATTCGCCACTAAGTGGCGGTGACGTCACCACGACGCTTGTGCCAGGCCAAGTGCACCTTGAGGCCACGTGAAGTGTCAAACGCCCGCTGGCAGGAGGTCACGGGGCAGACCCAGCAGGTGCCACGGGTCGACTGACCGAGATGACCGAGATGACTGGCTGATGCACCACCTGTGCCTCCTACTGTACAAACTTGCTGTGCTTTAGCCACCGGGCGCTCCGCTCGTTGTTGTGAGCGTCGCTCCTCCGCCCTCCGTTGTTGTTGGAGGGCGACTGCCTCCAACTGCCCAGCAGCGTCCTTCACGAGCCTCCTCCACAGAGGCTGATCTTGACACCGCTGGTACCAGTCATCGGCAAGTCCACTCAGCTCCACGTCCTCCTGTACCACATCACTCCATCTCTTCTCTAGCCCGTGCCGCGCCCGTTTAGCCCCCTCGATCCGGTCGAACTAAAGCTGTTTAGGCATGCACACACACACACGCACACACGCGCTCGTGCGCGCACGTTCCACTCCGCTCCCATCTGTTCTGTTCCGTCCCAGCCTTTCGCGCCACGACTCACTCACGCCTACACACACGCCAGGGTTGCCACCTGTCCTGCTTTTTAAATCCTTTATATTAAGTTCACTTGCTTGCTTGCTTGCGCGCTTACGACCGTGCAAATCTTTCGGTCGTTTTTTAGCCCACTTCCCGTGATCCAATCGAGCTGACATTTTGCACACAGACTCGTTGTGCGTGACAATTACACTTTTTAGGAAAAAATAAATTATATTTAATTACCAATTGCTTAATGGTGGCAGGCAATCATCTGACCCATAGGTGGCAGCCATCTCAAGCCAGAGGACGAGAGGACTCTAGCAGCCACGCATATAAAGGATTTATAGTGAAAAACTTTGTTTATACGGGTTATTTTTTTACCCCCAGTACGTCGTCAATATATATTTAAAGATAGCCGTCCTGGGAAGATCCGTGACTATGCAATCACACAACGTGCTTCTCATTTCCTCTGAGATGTTCTTCTGCACGCCTCTCACCACGATACGTCCCGGTTCTTTGCAACTCAAAGCGTCAACCCTCACGTTCAACGCGGGCACGCACGCACACCCCATCACTCGCTCCGCATCATCAACATGTCCCATCGCGCGCCCTTCCTTCTCCATCACCACTGTCTCCCATCGCTGGATTGCGTCCCACCCCCCCCCCCCCCCCACATCATCCATAATCGCTCCCGTCGCTCATCCGCCCAGCTCCTACCATCGTCTCCCATCGCCAGCTACCATCACCCCGTCTGCCGTCACGCGCGCGCGTACACACATCCTCTCCCCCATCACCGCCGGCCAGCTCTCCTCCCCTCTCTCCATCTCTCTCTGTCCTCATCATCATTATCAGCAGCAGTCATCTCTTGCAACGCGTTCGCCCGCCCGCCCATCCGTACGTCCGTCTGGTCGCTCCCGCCCCCGCCGCCATCGCCATCACCGGCACGTGTGCATCTCCACGTGCTTGCGGCACTGCCTGCACTTGACGAAGCAGCACCAGTGGAACTTGCAGTAGCAGCGCTCCACCAGCTCGGCGCGCGTCGTGTGGAAGCCGCGGCCGCAGCACATGAGCTCGCAGCCGTCGAGGGCGCGCGAGGTGCGGTTGCACTCGCGGCCCGCCGTGCCCGCCACGCCCGCCTTGGGGTCGGCGTCGCAGAAGTCCGGACTCGGCGCCACGTACACCAGGTCCTCGTCCGTGTGCGGCTTGAACTGCGCGTTGCGCGGAACCAGCTGCCGCCGCGTGCCGATCTTGCGCAGTTCCACCTGGGGCGTGTGGTGGGTGGGTGTGGGTGGGTGGGTTTGTGTGGGTGGGTGTGGGTGGGTGGGGGTGGGTGTGGGTGTGGGTTTGTGTGGGTGTGGGTGGGGTGGGTGGGTGGGTTTGTGTGGGTGGGTGTGGGGGTGGGTTTGTGTGGGTTTGGGTGTGGGTGGGTTTGGGTGGTTGAGTGTGGGTGGGTGTTGGTGGGTGGGTGTGGGTGGGTGGGTGTGGGTGGGTGTGGGTGGGTGTGGGTGGGTGTGAGTGTGGGTGGGTGTGGGTGGGTGTGGGTGGGTGTGAGTGGGGTTGGTTGGGGTTGGTGGGTTTGTGTGGGTGGGTGTGGGTGGGTGTGGGTGGGTGGGTGTTGGTGGGTGGGTTTGTGTGGGTGGGTGTGGGGGTGGGTTTGTGTGGGTTGGGTGTGGGTGGGTTTGGGTGGTTGGTGGGGTGGGTGTTGGTGGGTGGGTGGGTGTGGGTGGGTGGGTGTGGGTGGGTGTGGGTGGGTGTGAGTGTGGGTGGGGTGGGTGTGGGTGGGGTGTGGGTGGGTGTGGGTGGGTGGGTGGTGTGGGTGGGTGTGGGTGGGTGTGAGTGGGGTTGGTTGGGGTGGGTGGGTTTGTGTGGGTGGGTGTGGGTGTGGGTGGGTGGGTGTGTGGGTGGGTTTGTGTGGGTGGGTGTGGTGGGTGTGGGTGGTGTGGGTGGGTTTGTGTGGGTGGGTGTGGGTTTGTGTGGGTGGGTGTGGGTGGGAGTGGGTGGGTTTGTGTGGGTGGGTGTGGTGGGTGTGGGTGGGTGTGAGTGGGTGTGGGGTGGGTTTGTGTGGGTGGGTGTGGGTTGTGTGGGTGGGTGTGGGTGGGATGTGGGTGGGTGTGTGTGGGTGGGTGTGGGTTGTGTGGGTGTGGTGGGACATGGGAGGAGTGGGTGGGTGGGTTTGGTGTGGGTGGGAGGGGGTGGGTGGGTGTGGTGTGGGTGGGGTAGTGTGGTGGGTGTGGTTGTGGGGTGGGTTTGTGTGGGTGGGTTGTGGGTGGGTGTGGGTGGGTGTGGGTGGGCGTAGGTGGGCAAGCGGGCGTGTGGGTTTGTGTGGGTGGGTGTGGGTGGGAGTGGGTGGGTGGGTGTTTGTGGGTGTGGGTTAGTGTGGGTGGGTGTGGGTGTGGGTGGGGGTGGGTGGGTGTGGGTGGGTGGGTTTGTGTGGGTGTGAGTGGGTGTGGGTTTGTGTGGGGGGTGTGGGTGTTGGTGGGTGTGGGTTGGTGTGGGTGGGTGTGGGTGGGTGTGGGTGTGGGTGGGTGTGGGTGGGTGTGGGTTTGTGTGGGTTTGTGTGGGTGTGTGGGTGGGGGTGGGTGGGTGTGGGTGGGTGGGTTTGTGTGGGTGGGTGTGGGGGGGGTTTGTGTGGGTTTGGGTGTGGGTGGGTTTGGGTGGTTGAGTGTGGGTGGGTGTTGGTGGGTGGGTGGGGTGTGGGTGGGTGTGGGTGGGTGGGTGTGGGTGGGTTTGTGTGGGTGGGTGTGGTGGGGTGGGTGGGTGTGAGTGGGTGGGTTTGTGTGGGTGGGTGTGTTTGTGTGGGTGGGTGTGGGTGGGTGTGGGTGGGTGTGGGTGGGTGGGTGTGAGTGGGCGTGGGTGGGCAAACGGGCGTGTGGGTGAGTGTGGGTGGGTGTGGGTTTGTGTGGGTGGGTTGTGGGTGGGAGTGGGTGGGTGTTGGTGGGTGTGGGTTAGTGTGGGTGTGTGTGGGTGTGGGTGTGGGTGGGTGTGTGTGGGTGGGTGTGGGTGTGAGTGGGTGTGGGTTTGTGTGGGTGGGTGTGGGTGTTGGTGGGTGTGGGTTGGTGTGGGTGGGTGTGGGTGGGTGTGGGTGTGGGTGGGTGTGGGTGGGTGTGGGTGTGGGTTTGTGTGGGTGGGTGTGGGTGGGTGTGGGTGTGGGTGGGTGTGGGTGGTGTGGGTGGGCGTGGGTGGGCAGGCGGGCGTGTGGGTGGGTGTGGGTGGGTGTGGGTGGGTGTGGGTTGGTGTGGGTGGGTGTGGGTGGGTGTGGGTGGGTGTGGGTGGGTTTGTGTGGGTGGGTGGGTGTGGGTGTGGGTTTGTGTGGGTGGGGGTGGGTGGGTGGTGAGTGTGGGTGGGTGGGTGTGGGTGGGTGGGTGAGTGTGGGTGAGTGAGTGTGGGTGAGTGAGTGTGGGTGTGTGTGGGTGAGTGAGTGTGGGTGGGTGTGGGTGAGTGAGTGTGGGTGTGGGTGGGTGGGTGAGTGTGGGTGAGTGAGTGTGGGTGTGTGTGGGTGAGTGAGTGTGGGTGTGTGTGGGTGAGTGAGTGTGGGTGAGGGGAGCACAGGAGTTAGCGCGCTGCGCAGCGACACCGGGCGACCCGAGTTGGTGTCTCGCTCATGGACCACGCTGGTGACGATGATCCGAACCGGTCCCGGGACCAACCTCCACAAGGTCGACTCAGCCTCGTGCGCCGTGCCGGCCTTCATAGGTGCTCGCTAACAGAACTTTCCCCAAGAGTCTGTTAAGGCTACACGGGGGATCTTTGTTTTTGTGATTGGGTGTGGGTGGGTATAGATGGGTATGGTCGGGTATTATGGGTGGATGGGTGGTTGTGAGTGGGTATGGGTGGGTGGGTATGTCGGATATGTGTGGGGGTATTTGGGTATGAGTTGGTATGGGTGGGTACGGGTGGAAATGGTGATTATTCCGCTTAGGCGAATTCAGTGACGAATATATCTCACGTGTTGTTTTTTTATGATCGTGAACTTGCAACGCACCGCCGCTCACGACTCAGCGGCTCGATGAGGCGACCAGAGAAGAGAGGAAAGGCAACAGCAACCACGCGGTGAGCTGGGACCAATCACACCCCCACCGCCCCCTCCCCCCAAGCTCTGCGGTGTTTACATGCGGGTTGGAAACCCGGAGCACCCGGAGACAACCCACGCGTGCGAGGGGGCAACGCTCTATCCCAGGAAGCCGACAACCTGGGCCTCCAGAGTGGCGCGCGGCTCTCTAAGGAACTGCGGCTCTTGAACGATCGAGTTTGTTACTAAATCCGGAAAAATTAACCCGTAAAAACTACGTTTTTCACTATAAATCCTTCATATGCATGGCATCGGTTTTCGGGCGGCTAGAGTCCTCTCGTCCTCTGGCTTGAGATGGCTGCCACCTATGGGTCAGATGATTGCCTGCCACCATTAAGCAATTGGTAATTAAATATAAAAAAAGAATTCCTAAAATGTTGAAAATTTTGGAAAAAATTTTCACGAAAATAAATTGTCACGCACAACGAGTCTGTGTGCAAAATGTCAGCTCGATTGGATCACGGGAAGTGGGTTAAAAAACGACCGAAAGATTTGCACGGTCGTAAGCGCGCAAGCAAGCAAGCACGCAAGCAAACGAACTTAATATAAATGATTTAAATAAAAAATGACCGAAAGATTTGCACGGTCGTAAGCGCGCAAGCAAGCAAGCACGCAAGCAAACGAACTTAATATAAATGATTTAAATAAAAAACGACCGAAAGATTCGCACGGTCGTAAGCGCGCAAGCAAGCAAGCACGCAAGCAAGCGAACTTAATATAAATGATTTAAATAAAAAACGACCGAAATATTTGCACGGTCGTAAGCGCGCAAGCAAGCAAGCGAGTGAACTTAATATAAAGGATTTTATAAATGTTCAGTTGCCGACGCCCTGCTCGATGCCATACAGATGGAACAGTTGGGGTCCCAATTTTCGCTGCACCACCTTCCCCTGGCGAGCCAATGGTACGGCAGCTCCCCCCCCCCCCCCCCCCCCCCACGGCGAAGGGAGTTTCGCAACAACATAATTCGTGCGCGTTGATCGACGTACACCCCCTCGCCGCTACCTCCACAGCGCTGGATCGCGAGCAGCCACGTGCAGCGTAGCCACCCATAACAAGCAGCCGCCATTCGCCACTAAGTGGTGACGGTGACCACGGCGCATGTGCCGGGCCAGGTGAAGTGACAGGTGGTCACGGGACAGAGCCAGGTGCAATGGGTTTGACTGCTGTGCCAGGCTAGGTGCAGGAGGACGAGGTCATGGGACAGACCCGGGTGCAATGGGTTTGACTGCTGTGCCAGGCTAGGTGCAGGAGGACGAGGTCATGGGACAGACCCGGGTGCAATGGATTTGACTGCTGTGCCAGGCTAGGTGCAGGAGGACGAGGTCACGGGACAGACCCTGCAGGTGCCACGGGTTTGACTGCTGTGCCAGGCTAGGTGCAGGAGGACGAGGTCACGGGACAGACCCTGCAGGTGCCACGGGTTTGACTGCTGTGCCAGGCTAGGTGCAGGAGGAGGAGGTCACGGGACAGACCCTGCAGGTGCAATGGGTTTGACTGCTGTGCCAGGCTAGGTGCAGGAAGAGGAGGTCATGGGACAGACCCTGCAGGTGCAATGGGTTTGACTGCTGTGCCAGGCTAGGTGCAGGAGGGCGAGGTCACGGGACAGACCCGGGTGCAATGGGTTTGACTGCTGTGCCAGGCTAGGTGCAGCAGGAGGAGGTCATGGGACAGACCCAGGTGCAATGGGTTTGACTGCTGTGCCAGGCTAGGTGCAGGAAGAGGAGGTCACGGGACAGACCCAGGTGCCATGGGGTTGACTGCTGTGCCAGGCTAGGTGCAGGAAGAGGAGGTCATGGGACAGACCCAGGTGCCATGGGGTTGACTGCTGTGCCAGGCTAGGTGCAGGAAGAGGAGGTCACGGGACAGACCCAGGTGCCATGGGTTTGACTGCTGTGCCAGGCTAGGTGCAGCAGGAGGAGGTCATGGGACAGACCCAGGTGCAATGGGTTTGACTGCTGTGCCAGGCTAGGTGCAGGAAGAGGAGGTCACGGGACAGACCCAGGTGCAATGGGTTTGACTGCTGTGCCAGGCTAGGTGCAGGAAGAGGAGGTCACGGGACAGACCCAGGTGCAATGGGTTTGACTGCTGTGCCAGGCTAGGTGCAGGAAGAGGAGGTCACGGGACAGACCCAGGTGCCATGGGGTTGACTGCTGTGCCAGGCTAGGTGCAGGAAGAGGAGGTCACGGGACAGACCCAGGTGCCATGGGGTTGACTGCTGTGCCAGGCTAGGTGCAGGAAGAGGAGGTCACGGGACAGACCCAGGTGCCATGGGTTTGACTGCTGTGCCAGGCTAGGTGCAGCAGGAGGAGGTCATGGGACAGACCCAGGTGCAATGGGTTTGACTGCTGTGCCAGGCTAGGTGCAGCAGGAGGAGGTCATGGGACAGACCCAGGTGCAATGGGTTTGACTGCTGTGCCAGGCTAGGTGCAGGAAGAGGAGGTCACGGGACAGACCCAGGTGCCATGGGGTTGACTGCTGTGCCAGGCTAGGTGCAGGAAGAGGAGGTCACGGGACAGACCCTGCAGGTGCCATGGGGTTGACTGCTGTGCCAGGCTAGGTGCAGGAAGAGGAGGTCACGGGACAGACCCAGGTGCCATGGGTTTGACTGCTGTGCCAGGCTAGGTGCAGCAGGAGGAGGTCATGGGACAGACCCAGGTGCAATGGGTTTGACTGCTGTGCCAGGCTAGGTGCAGCAGGAGGAGGTCATGGGACAGACCCAGGTGCAATGGGTTTGACTGCTGTGCCAGGCTAGGTGCAGGAAGAGGAGGTCACGGGACAGACCCAGGTGCCATGGGGTTGACTGCTGTGCCAGGCTAGGTGCAGGAAGAGGAGGTCACGGGACAGACCCTGCAGGTGCCATGGGGTTGACTGCTGTGCCAGGCTAGGTGCAGGAAGAGGAGGTCACGGGACAGACCCAGGTGCCATGGGGTTGACTGCTGTGCCAGGCTAGGTGCAGGAAGAGGAGGTCACGGGACAGACCCTGCAGGTGCCATGGGGTTGACTGCTGTGCCAGGCTAGGTGCAGGAGGACGAGGTCACGGGACAGACCCTGCAGGTGCCATGGGGTTGACTGCTGTGCCAGGCTAGGTGCAGGAGGACGAGGTCACGGGACAGACCCTGCAGGTGCCATGGGGTTGACTGACTGAGATGACTGGCAGATGCACCACCTGTGGCCCCTTCTGTGCCAACTTAGCGTAGCCACCACCACCACCACCACCATCAGCGCCCGGCCGTTGTTATTATTATTCATATCATAATGTACGATGACGAGGTGAAGGTGAGCGTGCGGCAGAATGGCAACGAAGCGCCTTCATCCAGCAGTGGATAGTAGACAATGGCTGCTGCTGATGCTGATGATGATGGTGGTGGTGGTGGAGATTGTGGTTGTTGCGGTTGAACACGTGGTGGAGGAGGGAGGAGGGAGGAGGCGCGTCGCACCTCCGTGGCTCCGTCGAACTTCTCCTTGAGCACGGAGCCGATCTTGCGGAACGGAGGCAGGGCCCTCCAGCAGGTGCGGACCTCACACGAGCCTGACACGCCGTGGCACTTGCACTCGACACGCATGTGGGAGACGACAGCCTGGAGACAACGGGGAGAGACACGCGGAGACACGCCGTGGCACTTACACTCGACACGCATGTGGGAGACTACAGCCTGGAGAGACACACGCGGACGTGTGGAGAGACTGGGAAGACACGCGGAGGCACACGCAGAGACACGCAGAGATACGCGGTGGGTCTCTCCGCAAGAGTCCGTGGGCCTCAATGCCAGAGTTTGTGGGCCTCAATGCAAGAGTCCGTGCGCCTCAATATGAGAATCTGTGGGCCTCAATGCCAGAGTTTGTGGGCCTCAACGCGAGAGTCCGTGGGCCTCAATGTGAGAGTCTGTGGGCCTCAATGCGAGAGTCCGTGGGCCTCAATATGAGATTCTGTGGGTCACAATGCGAGAGTCCGTGGGTCTCAATGCGAGAGTCCGTGGGTCTCAATGCGAGAGTCCGTGGGCCTCAATGTGAGAGTCCGTGGGCCTCAATGCGAGAGTCCGTGGGCCTCAATGCAAGAGTCCGTGCGCCTCTATGCGAGAGTCCGTGGGCCTCAATGCGAGAGTCCGTGGGCCTCAATGCGAGAGTCCATGGGCCTCAATATGAGATTCTGTGGGCCACAATGCGAGAGTCCGTGGGTCTCAATGCGAGAGTCCGTGGGTCTCAATGCGAGAGTCTGTGGGCCTCAATGTGAGAGTCTGTGGGCCTCAATGCGAGAGTCCGTGGGCCTCAATGCAAGAGTCCGTGCGGCTCTATGCGAGAGTCCGTGGGCCTCAATGCGAGAGTCCGTGGGCCTCAATGCGAGAGTCCGTGGGCCTCTATGCAAGAGTCCGTGCGCCTCAATGCAAGAGTCCGTGCGCCTCAATGCAAGAGTCCGTGGGCCTCTATGCGAGAGTCCGTGGGCCTCAATGCAAGAGTCCGTGGGCCTCAATGCGAGAGTCTGTGCGCCTCAATGCAAGAGTCCGTGCGCCTCAATGCAAGAGTCCGTGGGCCTCTATGCGAGAGTCCGTGGGACTCAATGCGAGAGTCCGTGGGCCTCAATGCAAGAGTCCGTGGGCCTCAATGCAAGAGTCCGTGGGCCTCAATGCAAGAGTCCGTGCGCCTCAATGCAAAAGTCCGTGGGTCTCAATGCAAGAGTCCGTGGGCCTCAATGCAAGAGTCCGTGGGTCTCAATGCGAGAGTCCGTGGGCCTCAATGCAAGAGTCCGTGGGCCTCTATGCGAGAGTCCATGGGTCTCAATGCAAGAGTCCGTGGGCCTCAATGCGAGAGTCCATGGGCCTCAATGCAAGAGTCCGTGCGCCTCAATGCAAAAGTCCGTGAGCCTCAAAGCAAGAGTCCGTGGGCCTCAATGCAAGAGTTTGTGGGTCTCAATGCGAGAGTCCGTGGGCTTCAATGCAAGAGTCCGTGGGCCTCTATGTGCGAGTCCGTGGGCCTCAATGCGAGAGTCCGTGGGTCTCAATGCGAGAGTCCGTGGGTCTCAATGCGCGAGTCCGTGGGCCTCTATGCGAGAGTCCGTGGGTCTCAATGCGAGAGTCCGTGGGCCTCTATGTGAGAGTCTGTGGGTCTCAATGCGAGAGTCCGTGGGTCTCAATGCGAGAGTCCGTGGGCCTCTATGCGAGAGTCCGTGGGTCTCAATGCGAGAGTCCGTGGGTCTCTATGCGAGAGTCCGTGGGCCTCAATGTGAGAGTCCGTGGGCCTCAATGTGAGAGTCCGTGGGTCTTTATGTGAGAGTCCGTTGGCCTCTATGCGCGAGTCCGTGGTCCTCTATGCGAGAATCCGTGGGCCTCAATGTGAGAGTCCGTGGGCCTCTATGCGAGAGTCCGTGGGCCTCAATGCGAGAGTCTGTGGGCCTCAATGCGAGAGTCAGTAGGCCTCTATGTGAGAGTCCGTGGGCCTCTATACGAGAGTCAGTGGGCCTCAATGCGCGAGTCCGTGGGCCTCTATGCGCGAGTTCGTGGGCCTCAATGCGCGAGTCAGTAGGCCTCTATGTGAGAGTCCGTGGGCTTTCAATATGAGAGTCCGTGGGCCTCTATGAGCCCGTGGGTCTCTCCGCGAGACTCCGTGGGCCTCTATGAGACCAGCGGGCCTGTTCACGAGAGTCCGTGAAGCGCGTGCCCTCACCTTGCGGCCGGCCTCGTTGTTGTGGAGGTTCATGAGCGTGCGCGCTGGGGACCCTCCCTTGCCGCGCTCCCTCGCGTCCACGAAGCTCTGCGAGAAGGCCACTCCGTAGGCGATGTTGTCCGAGCATCCGGACCACTGGAACCCTGCACAAGGGACCACAACAAGGGGGTGGTGGAGGGGTTGGTGGGGGGGGACTCAGTGAGGGGGTTTGTCGAGGATTGCCCTTTTGGGGGGGTCCCTGAGGGTCTCTGTGAGCACCCCCTAACCCTCCCTGGAGATCTCAGAGGATGTCTGTGAATGTGGGAGTCCCAAGCCTGAGGGTCTCTGTGAGTGTCTCCCCGATGGGAAAATCCCTGAGGATCTCGGAGTTTCTCCCTGGTGGGGGTCCCTGAGGGTCTCTGTGAGTGTCTCCCTGATGGAAAAATCCCTGAGGATCTCGGAGTTTCTCCCTGGTGGGGGTCCCTGGGGGTCTCTGTGAGTGTCTCCCGATGGGAAAATCCCTGAGGATCTCGGAGTTTCTCCCTGGTGGGGGTCCCTGAGGGTCTCTGTGAGTGTCTCCCCGATGGGAAAATCCCTGAGGAACTCGGAATTTCTCCCTGGTGGGGGTCCCTGAGGGTCTCTGTGAGTGTCTCCCGATGGGAAAATCCCTGAGGATCTCGGAGTTTCTCCCTGGTGGGGGTCCCTGAGGGTCTCTGTGAGTGTCTCCCCGATGGGAAAATCTGAGGATCTCGGAGTTTCTCCCTGGTGGGGGTCCCTGGGGGTCTCTGTGAGTGTCTCCCCGATGGGAAAATCCATGAGGATCTCGGAGTTTCTCCCTGGTGGGGGTCCCTGAGGGTGTCTGTGAGTGTCTCCCGATGGGAAAATCCCTGAGGATCTCGGAGTTTCTCCCTGGTGGGGGTCCCTGAGGGTGTCTGTGAGGGTCTCCCCGATGGGAAAATCCCTGAGGATCTCGGAGTTTCTCCCTGGTGGGGGTCCCTGAGGGTGTCTGTGAGTGTCTCCCGATGGGAAAATCCCTGAGGATCTCGGAGTTTCTCCCTGGTGGGGGTCCCTGAGGGTGTCTGTGAGTGTCTCCCCGATGGGAAAATCCCTGAGGATCTCGGAGTTTCTCCCTGGTGGGGGTCCCTGAGGGTCTCTGTGAGTGTCTCCCCGATGGGAAAATCCCTGAGGATTTCGGAGTTTCTCCCTGGTGGGGGTCCCTGGGGGTCTCTGTGAGTGTCTCCCCGATGGAAAAATCCCTGAGGATCTCGGAATTTCTCCCAGGTTGGGGGTCCTTGAGGGTCTCTGTGAGTGTCTCCCCGATGGGAAAATCCCTGAGGATATCGGAGTTTCTCCCTGGTGGGGGTCCTTGAGGGTCTCTGTGAGTGTCTCCCCGATGGGAAAATCCCTGAGGATCTCGGAGTTTCTCCCTGGTGGGGGTCCCTGAGGGTGTCTGTGAGTGTCTCCCCGATGGGAAAATCCCTGAGGATCTCGGAGTTTCTCCCTGGTGGGGGTCCCTGAGGGTCTCTGTGAGTGTCTCCCCGATGGGAAAATCCCTGAGGATCTCGGAGTTTCTCCCTGGTGGGGGTCCCTGAGGGTGTCTGTGAGTGTCTCCCCGATGGGAAAATCCCTGAGGATCTCGGAGTTTCTCCCTGGTGGGGGTTCCTGAGGGTCTCTGTGAGTGTCTCCCCGATGGGAAAATCCCTGAGGATCTCGGAGTTTCTCCCTGGTGGGGGTCCCTGGGGGTCTCTGTGAGTGTCTCCCCGATGGAAAAATCCCTGAGGATCTCGGAATTTCTCCCAGGTGGGGGTCCTTGAGGGTCTCTGTGAGTGTCTCCCCGATGGGAAAATCCCTGAGGATCTCGGAGTTTCTCCCTGGTGGGGGTCCCTGAGGGTGTCTGTGAGTGTCTCCCCGATGGGAAAATCCCTGAGGATCTCGGAGTTTCTCCCTGGTGGGGGTCCCTGAGGGTCTCTGTGAGTGTCTCCCCGATGGGAAAATCCCTGAGGATCTCGGAGTTTCTCCCTGGTGGGGGTCCCTGGGGGTCTCTGTGAGTGTCTCCCCGATGGAAAAATCCCTGAGGATCTCGGAATTTCTCCCAGGTGGGGGTCCTTGAGGGTGTCTGTGAGTGTCTCCCCGATGGGAAAATCCCTGAGGATCTCGGAATTTCTCCCTGGTGGGGGTCCTTGAGGGTCTCTGTGAGTGTCTCCCCGATGGGAAAATCCCTGAGGATCTCGGAGTTTCTCCCAGGTGGGGGTCCTTGAGGGTCTCTGTGAGTGTCTCCCCGATGGGAAAATCCCTGAGGATCTCGGAGTTTCTCCCTGGTGGGGGTCCTTGAGGGTCTCTGTGAGTGTCTCCCCGATGGGAAAATCCCTGAGGATCTCGGAGTTTCTCCCTGGTGGGGGTCCCTGGAGGTCTCTGTGAGTGTCTCCCGATGGGAAAATCCCAGAGGATCTCGGAGTTTCTCCCTGGTGGGGGTCCCTGAGGGTCTCTGTGAGTGTCTCCCGATGGGAAAATCCCTGAGGATCTCGGAGTTTCTCCCTGGTGGGGGTCCCTGAGGGTCTCTGTGAGTGTCTCCCGATGGGAAAATCCCTGAGGATCTCGGAGTTTCTCCCTGGTGGGGGTCCCTGGGGGTCTCTGTGAGTGTCTCCGATGGG